GCTACTTGGCATTAGAGATGTAGCTAAAGGAATTGGAGTTTGCCCTGATGGGTTTTGATCTTGCTTTGTTCCAGTATTTCCTCACTATGTCCTGTTTTATCCCCTTTGTAATGCTGATGTATATTCTTTGCCATTATATGTTGGAAATATGGAATGGGCTTTTTATTTTATAGTAGATTACAATAGAAAGATTGTATTGAATTTCAGAAAAGACTTTGACCTTTGGACTCTTAAACAGTGTTGAGATTGAAAAACTATAAGGACTTTTGAAGTTGGACTAAATGCATTTTGTATTAGGATATGGCCACACTTATGGGAACCAGGGAGTGGAATGTAGTCAGTTGAATGCAAATGTCCCCCATAAGCTCATATGTTTAAATATTTGATCCTTAGTTGGTGGAACTTTTAGAGGATTAGGAGGTATGTTCTTATTGAAGGAAGTGGGTAATGGGGAGAGCTTTGATGTTTCCAAAGACTCATGCCATTCCTAGTGTCCTTCCTCTCTGGCTCTGGCTCTGGCTCTGGCTCTGGCTCTGGCTCTGTCTCTCTCTCTGTCTCTCTCTCTGTCTCTCTCTCTCTCTCTCTCTCTCTCTCTCTCTCTCTCTCTCTCTCCTTTCTCTCTGCCTCCTACCTGCAAATTAAGATTTGAGCTGCCAGCTGTTCCTGCCACCAAGTCTTTGTTCTGCCACCATGGATCCTATCCCTATGAAACTGTAAGCTCAATTAAAAACTTTCATTTGTAAGCTGTGTTGTTCATATGTTTTGTCATAGCAATAGAAAAGTAAATAAGACAAAGACCAAATTTATAAATGAGCACAGGAGAAGCACAGACTAAAGGCCTAGAAAACATAATCAATAAAACTGTAGCAGTAAACTCCCCTTATCTAGAAAAATAAATGTCCACCTAGAAATGAGCCATTTGGAACATCAGCAAGAAAGGAAAAGAAAAGAACTGTATATCCATGCTGTGTATGCTGTGAATGTGTTGCTCTGATTGGTTAATAAATAAAGTGCTGATTGGCCAGTAGCCAGGCAGGAAGTATAGGCGGAACAAAGAGAGAGGAGAATTCTGGGAATAGGAAGGCTGAGTCAGGAGTTGCCAGACAGCCACAGAGGAAGCAAGATGTGAAGGCAGAACTGGGAAAAGTTACCAAGCCATGTGGCTAAACATAAATAAGAATTATGGGTTAAATTAAGTGTAAGATCTAGCTAGCAAGAAGCCTGAGCCATTAGGCCAAACAGTTTTAATTAATATAAGCATCTGTGTGTTTATTTGGGTCTGAGTGACTGTAGGCCCAGGCAGGACTGAAGAAAACTCCAGCTACACACACACACACACACACACACACACACACACACACACACACACAACATTATTTAAAATAAAGAATAGGAAAAGTTGCTAGAAAGAACAAATCACATACAAGGCAAAACCATCAGAACAACAGCAGATTTAGAAACAGAAGGAAAATAGGGAATAATACATTTTAAACTCTATAAGATTGCAATTTCCAACCCAGATTACTACATACTATTCAATAATAACTCCAAATGTTAATGACCTCAAGTCTCTAATTAAAAAATGACAGATTAGTAGATTAAATTAAAAACAAGACCCACGTATTTATTGCCTACAAGAAATATACCTTATGGGGAAAAAAAGGATGGAAATTGGCATTCCAAGTAAATAGAACTAAAAAAAGAGGCAAGTGTAGCTATACTAATATTTGGCAAATTATACTTCAAATCAAAGTTTCACAATGATTATGGGGACAGTCTGTCATAAGGATATATCAATTCTAAATATATATGGACATTAACATATGTAGTGCTCACACTACCACCCGTTCGCCATGTCCGAGTGAGGGGCTGAGGATTACAAACAGAGACAAGACATCTGGTCATTCGTCTCAGTAGAATGCCGGATGCCATTTATTGAAGGAGGGAAGAGGCCTTAAATACAGGCTTACAGCACAGTGGGAGAACCCCAGAGGGCAGAAGTTTGCTACAGATATTTTACATTCTTGCATCCTAGCTGTTTATACCAATATGCAAGATACACAAACAAGGAACCTCAGGTAAGCTGTTTTAGGAGGAAGGAAACCTGCAGGGAATTAGCACAGGGAGGACATCTGATCAAGGTCAGCAAGCAAGGCAACAGCTACTCAAGGAATGGGGGTCAGGGTCCAAACATACTCATTGGGGCATTCAATTTCATTTTTTAAAAAATGAAACAACAGCAATAACAAAAATCTACTGGATGCAATGGCACAGAGTAACATCATCACAATTGGAGTGGATGCTTTCAGTACTCCATTGGTACTGGCCTTCTGACCACAATGCTGGGGATTCACATCTCAGTCTTTCTAGCAAGAATGGAGAGGACAATAATGCCTAGGGTTGCTTTGGAGATGGAGACAGTCTTGGTAATATTAACATGGAAAAAGTAACACAATTACAGAGCAGTAAGTCATGAGAGGTTAATTATATGGTCCTTAAAGCATCCCTATTCTTCTAGCTAAGAAAAAGAATAATTATTAATTGCCAGAAGAAAGGAAATAGTTCTGTTTCTTCTATAAAAGACAAAATAGAAAAGGAGATAAGTAGATAAGATAACTCACAATACACTGAAACAATAGTCAAAATTTTTCAGGTAAAATATGGTAGTTTGTTGACTCTACAGCTTAGACATGATTTAGAGAGAGAAGAGCACGCTGTTCACAGTTGATACAATTGTGGGACTGGTAGCATACTAACTTTTGTGCAAACTTTGCAGATTTGGGCACATGGTTAATGCATTATCTTGTGACTATTTTAATTTGCTTGTGGTGTGTGGTTTATACTATAGTCAAAGTGTTTTCCTACATTCTACTCATTTTCTAGCCTAATCTGGGGAAGTGCAATATATTTGTGCCACTAGATGGCAATATGTAACTTTGCAAGTGGATGTCTCCTATCACTAAATGTATTCAATCAAATCTTAGGTATCCAATTTTCCCTACCCACCCACGAAGGTAGATAACAGTTGCCCACAGAAAAGATATTTACATTTAAAGCACATTCCTAAATTATAGATTAGAGTCTGGGGAAAATATAGGAAATCCGATTCCATTACACATATTCTAGCCATTGCATATTTTATATGAAAAATAAATAAAATAAGATAGTTATCTAAAGTCAATAACACTAAACCAATTGTAACACTTAAAATGCTCTTCCAAAAGAAAAAAATGAAAGACTTTGCTATTATAGACTTTTTGGTAACTTGTGAAAAAAATAAAAAAATGAATAACACCATAATCAGAAATACCACATCAAAGAGCCAGGCAGTGGTTGAACATGCCTTTATCCCGGCACTTGGGAGGCAGAAGGCAGGTGGATCTCTGAGCTTGAGGCCAGTCTGGTCTACAGATCAAGTTCTAGGCCAGACAGGGCTACACAGAGAAATCTTATCTTGAAAAACCTAAATAGAAAAGAAAAAACACAGCCAAAGTTGTTAGTGGTGTGTGTGTGTGTGTGTGTGTGTGTGTGTGTGTGTGTGTGTGTGTGTAAGTCAGTCCCTAACCCATACAAGCCGCAAATCTGTAGTGCTCTTGATTCAGACTCCCATGATGCCTGGCTTCAAAGTAGTCTGTACTGTCCTAAGAAAACTTGAAATCCATATCACTAATGACTGACCTTACTCATTATTTTATTCCAGCTCCTTTATCTCTATTATTACTTTGGTTGGCTCACATGAAATTTCCCATATCTGACAATTTTGCCCGATGAAATCACAATTCTGTATACACCAACTATACTAGTCACTTTTACAGGTTTCCCCTGGCTCATACTGAAGAGGGGTTTCCACTGGCTTACACTGAAGCGTGGTTTCCCCTGATACACACTGAAGCAGGGTTTCCTCTGGCTCACAATGAAGTTAAAACCCATCATGTTGGCAGGATCATGAATCAGAGGGGGAGTCTAGAGCTCAAAGTCATCTTGAGTAAGTTAGTCATCTTGAGTAAGTTCCAGGCAAAGCAGTCTATGCCGGTTTCCTGGTCCTCTTTCTGAACACACCATAGCATGTTTTGGGAGTGACTGATTCTCCACAGCCCTTACTATCTAGGTTCTATGAAAATGGAGATTCATAGTCTGCCTCCCTAGGAAGCAGGAGCAACTGGTACCATGGGGACAGGCTCAAACCCTTGGAGAGAACGGCTTCTGAGAAGACCTCCCACTTGTCATGTCTCAGGTACATAAAATAAATAAAAAACTGACCACCCCACTAGATAGATCAACATTTCCCAGGTTCACAATGAATGTTTGCTTTCTTCAACAAAACCTCTATAATATTTAAAAGATTCTCCACATAAGTAAACAGAATATAAAACAATAATATTGGATTTGCTTATGAAGATGAGTTATTCTGCTTTTCAATGGCCCACCAAATTCCTTCTTAAAATATGTCAATTTTAGGGAGAAAATTCTCTTTTTGCCTTTTTCTTATTCAAAGGAAGAATTTCCTTTTTATTTTTATTTTTTTTATACATTTGGCTCTTTTAAAATAATTTTAGTTCCATCAGGGCAATGTATCCTCTATCACATCCACCTACTCATCAGTGAGGCTAAGTGACTTCATCCAACAGTAGCAAATACTTAGCAGTATCCCAGAGAGCAGAAGATAGGAGATGAGGCAAGCCAATAAGAAGTCACGATGAACAGTTTTTCTTCACGATGACCACACAGACACTGCTCTTTCGAGCCACATTATAGCACATCCAAAACAATACTAAATTGTTTTAAACCAAGGGCAATAAGAGAACTATTCAATTTCTAACTAATTAAAAACCATTCTGTAAGTTTCATTACGACCCAGACTAACTTCAGGAAGTATACCATAACAATTTTTTAAATGTAACATTGGTAGCATTGATAATAGATCTTTCTCTCAAAGGGAAGAGCAAATCTGAGCCCTCTCAATCTGTTCTCTGAGTAGGTAAATAGCAAGGCATACTCACAGTTCACAATGTCACCTCGAAGCTCCAGAATCTGAGGAACTGGCATGGTGAGGACAACAATGTCAAATTGCTCAGGGGAGCCCGTCTCCTTGGAGACTTCCCACTTGTTATTTCTCAGGTTGATCTGGGTCACACGCTGTTTGAAGAAAACTTCTGCACCTGCTCCAAAGGCAAAATCAGGTGCTGCTTACCAGACTTTTCCACATGAATGAGGAGGAAGTGAAAAGTCAAACTAGATCCATTCAGGTAAACAAAACACTCCTTAACCTTATCTTCTGTAGTCAAATCTTTCTTTGCCCTCTACTTCAATAGCGATTCTTCCCTCTACCACTTGTACCCCTGGGCCTTCAGTCAGCGTTTGCTATGAAGGAAACAATTATGCAACACTACTACAGTGACTACTACTACTTCTTCTAAATCTATTTCTACTACATCATAGCTAACTTTCATTAAGAATTTGTTAGTTCCCTCTAAATCAACTGAGCAAAGCTCACATGAACTCACAGAATCTGAAGTAGCATGCACAGGGCCTGCACAGGTCTTCACCAGTCTCTGCATATATATTATGGCTTTAACTTAATGTGTTTTTTTTTTAATGGAACTCCTGAGTATGTGAATCAGGACTAGATTGTATGAGAAAATAATCTATTTTCAATAAAAGGGAAGAATATTTATTAGCTGTCTTAGCTACTTTTTTCATTGCTACAAAGAGATACCATGACAAGGCTACTTATAAAGAAAGCATTTAACGAGGGGGAGGCTTGTTTATAGTTTCAGAGAGTGAGTGTGCCTATCATGGTGGGAAGCATGACAGCAAGCAGGCAGGTATGGTACTAGAGAAGTAGCTGAGAGCTTACATGTTGAGACAACAAGCAAGAGACAGAGAGAGAAGACTAGCTGAGAAGGGTGTGAGCTTTTGACACTTCAAAACCCAGTTCCAGTGAACCACCTCCTCCAACAAGGCCACAACCCCTCCAACAAGGCCACAACCCCTCCAACAAAGCCACAACCCCTCCAACAAGGCCACAACTCCTCCAACAAGGCCACACATCCAAATCCTACTCAAGCAGTCCAAGTAACTAGGGACCAAGTATTTAAACACAGGTATCTATATGAGGGCCACCATACTAGTCAAACATTTGTTACATATTATACTAATTTATTTGTTACATATTATACCAATTTATTTCAAAAATAAAGAATAGATAGCAATCTGTTAAATCATGACTTAAACATATACAGATGACGAGCAAGCTTGTCACCTTTGCAGACTCTATGAATACACATCAGTCAGTAAATGTATCAGCAATTAATTCTCACTAGTAATACCTAGCAATATACCCTTACACAATCTTAAAATATGGCTGTAGGGGAGATTAAGTCCTCATTAAGGATCAGAACTAAGAGAATCACTGACTACTTTGTCATCCTACATTGTTCTGTTCAAACATGAAGGCAAGGGGGGGGGGGTTACTAAGGTGCCTGGAGCCTTTCCGAGGTCTCTGCTTTCGGAAGGTACAATAATTTTCACTTTTACCCATCATTTCTTTATCCCAACAAAGCAACTTTGTTTAATTTTTTTACTTATTTGGAATGTCTTACTCTGCTTACCTTACTCCATGGTCTTTTCCAGACCCCAATTCAAGCAAATAATTCTATTTTGTTTACATTGTCCTCTATAAATAATCCTTTAAAAAGAGAACTGTTATTGTTCTCTCTCTCTCTCTCTGTCTCTCTCTCTGTCTCTCTGTCTCTCTCTGTCTCTCTCTGTCTCTGTCTCTCTCTGTCTCTGTGTCTCTCTGTCTCTCTCTCTCTGTCTCTCTCTCTCTCTCTCTCTCTCTCTCTCTCTCTCTCTCTCTCTGTATGTGTTTGTGTGCGTACTTAAAGGGATTACAATCCACTAGCCTATAAAGTTCTCTGAGCTTGAGCTGAAGTTCTTGGACATAAATTCCAATGGCTCAAGGTCTTCTGTAAGTTGACCATCAGAAGTGTTGTAAGTGCTGACCCGAAACGAGCAGCACTAGGAACACATGTGCACATTGCCCCAAGCAAGTCACAAAAACTAAATTCCAAGGATTAGGCCCAGAAACCTTGTTTTTACAAGCTCCTTTATTTAGTAGGGTAAGTAAAGTATGACACATGAAAAAATGCAAAATCACTACAGTAGATGAGCAGACCCAAAGCTAATATGACTCCTAAAAAATCCACCCCATACTTAGTATTTACAAAGAAGAAAGAAAAATTGTCTTTCTTACGTTTGGATCAAAGTTTCCAGGACGGAGGAATTTCCTTGTAGAAATAATCAATAACTTTCCTAAGACATGACACATTAAAATTATAAATCCTCTGGAGAATAACCTACATTTTCTCAAGAGGCACTCTGAGCTTAGGAAATTTGATCATTCATGAACTGCACGCAGAAAATCTTCAATGGCTTCCTACCACACTTAAGATAAAGTGTAAAATCTTCTAACACTGTTTACAAAGCACTTATACCTGAACCAAGTTTAATCTTGTACTTCATCTTGCCACGTTCTCGCTCATTCAAACTACTCCCCAGTTATAAACTTCTAATTTATTGAATGCACTTTGCTGTGTCTACTTCATGACTGCTCCAAATCCTGCTCTGTAGAACTCTAACCCCTTGCCTCTTGCCCTAGTTCACACTTGTTGACTTTAATGTATCCATGAAATGTCAATTCCCCTGTTGACACTTTTCCTAACATTTTTTTCAGTTCACCATTCCAAAATCTATGTCACATTAGGTATTTTTACTAAATATTTGTTCACAGTGCTTACATCCTCCTTAGCATTTACTATAAAGGAACAGTTTAATGTCTCCCTATCCCACTACTGCACTCTACGTTATCGACAGGAACTGTCTAATTGTTCAGTTTCTCCACGTTGCACTTTTTCTATTCAGTCAGGAGAGGGCAACAACACCCAAGAAATGGTTCAACCCCAGTCCAAGTTGGCAAACTAATGAGTTTAACTGGGATTACTTACAGGCAGCTCACTAACCACTTACATCGTCAGGGAAGAGTGGAACTCATGCACCTCTTGAGCTGCCTCGTGATGTCTTTACCACCAGGTCAATAGAAGTATTACTGGGGACAGCCTTCGAGGGTCTTGGACAAGTAATCATAGCTTGCTAATATTTGAAAGACTGAACAGCCAAGCGATGCCCAGAGGACAGAGTTCTACAACATCCAGTGCATGCTACTTAAAAAGAATTTTTTAATTTTGCACATAGCTATAAAGATAGAAGACTACTCAGCTTTAAACATTTTATAAAAGCAAATGTGTTCCTACTATATAGTTTTTCATTCCATCCCAATTTCTTCCAGTGTGTGTGTGTGTGTGTGTGTGTGTGTGTGTGTGTGTGTGTGTGTATACACATGCATAGATAACTAGCTATGCTCAAGCATGTCAAAGTCAGAAGAGAAATCGGTATTCCCTACCTAATGTTTTTAGGAAAGTTCTCACTGAACATGAAGCTGGCCACTTCAGCTAGGCTGGCTAGCTATCAAATTCCTGAGACCTTCCTGTCTCTGCCCTATCAGTGCTTGGGGACACAGGCTCTTGTTGCCACACCCAGCTTTTATGTGGGTTCTGGGGATGCAAATAAGTTTAAACTTAGGCCATCTTGCTTTCCCAGCAAGCCTCTTACCCACTAAGCAATCTCCCTATCCATTTTCTGTAGTGGTGCTCAAGTCACTTACATAAAATATTTGTAGGTAACTAACACATGTCTTCCAATACACTTTAAAATATCTCTAGATTACTCACAATACCTAAAACATGATAAACCAATAGATTTTTTATAATGTGTTAGAGAATTATGGAATGAAAAAAGCATACAAATTCAGTACATACACACACACATACACACACACACACAAACAACTATACATATCACTGCACATGGACTAAAAAACAAGGTGTCATATCCTAATGACAGACTAAGGGTCTGTGAGTCAGTGAATGTGCCTACACATCACTCCCCTCTCATGGAGCATACTATAAGTTGTGCAGCAACTTCATGTTTGCTTTTTAGAACTTTCTGGAACTGTTTTTTAAATTTTGGTTTATTTGGTTGTTTATTGAGATGGGATCTCACACTACAGTCCTTCCTTGCCTATAACTCACTATGTGGCCCATATTGTCCTTGAACTTGTGGTGATCCTGCATCTGCCTCCAAAGTGCTAAGAAAACATATGTGCCACCATGCCTAGCCCTTTTTCAATGTTTCTGAACTACAGTTGGTATTGGACATAGAATATCTGAATGGGGGTGGGGGAGCAAAATATACCCCACTGGTTCTGTTTCTCTGAAGAACTTGATTACAGGTTCATAGTCTGAATCTTGAATGGAGAAATGGCCTGACCCAGAACTGTATTTTTTAAGTGTCTTGTATAGTCAATCTCATCGGCCTTTCTCATGTTCAGATTCTTGAGGCTTTCATTAAGTAATGTTTGACAAAGAAGACAAAAATTGTAATAATTCTACAAATAGCCATGAAACTATAAATTTTTAGCTTATACCTTTCTACAGTAATCTTGAATGGGGTACTTAGCCAAATTACAAATATTCCAATATATATAGCTTGCTCTATAATAGAAAAAATAATTTATCACCCATGAAAACCTCTATTTGTTCTTTTATAAAATATCAACTATCATAGCATTCATAAATTGCATATAGAAAAAAATAAAAATCCTAATAGAATATGGTCCAATTATGAATAAGACATCCAAAGAAAGACTGCAAAGAGCTGGTTAACAAAGCAAAAGAGGTATAAATTTACTCAAAAGTTAGGAACTAAAAAAACAAAATTACAAAAATATGATGTTTTTAATCTATGATGCCAGTAAAAATTTAAAATTTCCATAACACTAAGGTGTGAGGAACATTCTCATTTTCTGCTAATGAGATAGTCATTAAGAGTAACACAGCCTGTTAGAATTCAATCCTACAACCACATCAAGGTGAGAGATGAAAAACTGTTTGTATACTTAAAACTCAAGACAGCTCCCATTCCTCAAAATATAAATATACACAAGAAAGTTGAATAAATAATTATATACACATACTATACTATTTTGGACATACATTAAAGAAAACAAAGCAAATTAAATTTGTTGGTGTGAAAAATAGGCCAAAGATATGAAACAAAAGAGGATACTGAATAGCTTATATAAAATAATCCCTTGTTTATATTATAAGGAAACGAATATAAACAGATTAGTAGTAAATAGAGACAGCCATACAGCTCAATAGGAAAATAAACATTTGTTAAAAACACAAACACACACACACACACACACCCTGCAACTGATTCCAGGCTTACTTTGGAGGAAGGAAAGGCTAATTTTAAAGGAGAAGACAACTGTATAACTATTTTTATAATCATCTATACGATATGAACATTGAATGCACAACTTTTATCTTAAAAGGCAGAGAAAATCCAAGTCCTACCTGATTCTTTCAAGTAGTGCTTAATAATTGAAGAAATTCCTTGAGGGGCCACAAAGTTGCAATCTCCTCCTTTCACATCCATTCCTTCAATAGGAGAGGTCAGAGGCTCCAAAATCCCATGAGCTAACAGCTCCTCATAAAATCTGAAACAATTACATGGAAATGTACAGTTTGATTAGCTCTGTAATCACTGTCTTGTCTTCTAAAAAAAATCAAATCGCTCTATAAATCCTCATACGACCAACTCAATGTACACTGTGTTAAACAAAACTTGTAATTCAGGTGAAGAACAAAAAATCCTTCAAGAGTCTGTAAATTGTCTACTGGCATAATTTCTATTTCAAGTCCTATTTCTCTGTATAAAAGTGAAGTCAAGAAAAGCACATGGAAAAGTATTATATGCCCCAATCTAAACGTGCTTAGAAATACTGACTTTCATTACTATCTGCCATCTTCAACACTAACAATTACTAAAATGGATTGAGCTTTTTTTGTTCTTGTTGTTCCATACATAATCTTATACAATCTTCACAAGGATCATAAGAACATTTATTTCACTGTTATAAGAGGCTAAGTTTTAAAATGTGTTAAAGTAAGACTCCGGAGTAGTGACTAACTTACTCTTGATGCTTTTTGGCATAATGAGGAGTGCAGGTGATGTACTGAGCTCCCAAGTCCGCTGTGCATCGGGGATTATGTGGACTTTTGGCAGTAATCATTCTTCCCCCTTAAAATAATTCATAAACAATTGTCAGTGCATAGAATGAACCTTTTGAAATTATACAAATCATCCTAGATAGTCTGGTGGCTTTATTGTCTCTGTCCAAATACATACATACATACATACATATACATATATATGTATATATATAATTCTAAGCTGAAGTCTTTATCATTGCTTATTGTCCCGGGCCTTAGGTCACTGGAATTTTTATTTGAATAAATAAAGGACTCGGGAATCATGCACCACTGCCTCGCAGTGTTACTAGTTCATACTGCGTGAACCTGAACAAGGAAATGGATGAAATGCCAGAATGACCAAGGCAGGCTGTTCAGTCAGGACATTCAGTCTAGACATTCGGAAAGTCTTGGTCAAGGGGAGGCTTGGGAATCTGCGGACGCTAGAGAAAGCCGCAAAGGCACAGCG